CGGAGCCCCACCTGGCCCGCTGCCCCACGCAGCTGGCCCCCCCGGCCCCCCGCCAGCACGCCTGTCCCCGCGGCATGCACGCCGTCGTCAGCTGCATCCCCGGCCCTGCCTTCCAGCAGGGCAAGGGCAGGGGCAAGAAACCTCCCCGCAAAGCCTCCCAGGGAAAGGTGAGCCCCGGCACGGCCCCGTACCCCCTGAGGAAGGCTCCTGGGGCCGGGCAGCACCCAGGCACCCCCCCTGCACCCGCTGATGGGGCCTGTTCCCCATGCCAGGGGCTCCCCGTGCGCCTGCGAGCAGGCGCCCACATCGGCGAGGGCCGGGTGGAGGTGCTGCGCCATGGGCAGTGGGGCACCGTGTGTGACAAGCGGTGGGACCTGGCGGCAGCCAGCGTGGTGTGTCGGCAGCTGGGCTACGGGACGGCAAAGCAAGCCCTGGTGGGAGCCCGGATGGGCCAAGGTGAGGCAGGAGGTGGGGTAAGGAATTGGGGCGCTGCTGGGCTCAGGAGGTGCGCAGGGAAAAGCCCTCTGCGCACTGCTGGGTAGCCGGGGGTAGTGCAGGGGGATCCGAGATGGGCACAGGGGCAGGAGCACCCATGTCGCCCCCCTGCTTCAGGCCTGGGCCCAATCCACATGAGTGAGGTGCGCTGCACTGGCCATGAGCGCTCCCTGGGCGAGTGCCGCTTCCAGGACGCCGAGCAGAGCGGGTGCCGGCACGAGGACGACGCGGCCGTGCGCTGCCACGTGCCCCACATGGACTTCCAGAGCCAGGTCAGTCCCTGCCTCCCCGCCAGCACCCGCTGAGCCCTGGCCCCATTACACAGCCCCTGCCCCAGCACCCCAAGCCCCCCGCCCAGTGTGGATGCTCCGAGTGTGGCCTGGGGGATGGGGACAGGCAGAGCCACCCAAACCACGCTGGTGTGGGATCCTCAGGATGAGCCAGTGCTCTCGTGGGAGGAAGAGGAAGGTGGAAGGAAGGCTCAGCTGGATGGATGGTGCTACCTGACCCACTCCCAGGGGGCTGGGGTCTGCCCCACGCTCCATTTCAGCCCCTCTTTGCCCACAGGTGCGCCTGGCCGGGGGGCGCAGCCCCGAGGAGGGCGTCGTGGAGGTGCTGGTGCCGGTGCAGGGCAAGCTGCGGTGGGGTGCGGTGTGCGGTGCCCAGTGGGGGCTCAATGAGGCCATGGTCGTCTGCAGGCAGCTGGGGCTGGGCTTTGCCAGCCATGCCCTGCAGGTGAGTTGGATCCCGGCGCAAGGAGCTGCGTAGTTTGGGCGTGCTGGGATGGCTCAGCAGCTGGGACGGGGCATGTGGGGACACGGTGACAGGCCCTGGTGGCAGTGCCGGGGAGCCGAGGGCTGGTCTGAACACCGTGCTCCCCCCTGCCCAGGAGACCTGGTACTGGGCGGGCAGCCCCGACGCCTCCGAGGTGCTGATGAGTGGGGTGCGCTGCTCGGGCACCGAGCTGGCCCTCCAGCAGTGCCAGCGCCACGGCCCCGTGCACTGCCCCAGCGGCGGGGGACGTTTCTCAGCGGGGGTCAGCTGCACCGCCCGTGAGTACCTGGCAGCCCACAGGGCGCCCGTCCTTCTCCCGGGACACAGCCCTGCGTGGCCGGGGTGGCGCAGGCTGGTGGCCACCAGCTGTGTCCCCACCGCTCCCATCCGTGCCAGACGCCCCGGACCTGGTGATGAACGCGCAGCTGGTGCAGGAGACTGCCTACCTGGAGGACCGGCCGCTGGCACTTGCTGTACTGCGCCCATGAGGAGCGCTGCCTGTCCCGCTCGGCCGACAGCATGCAGTGGCCCTACGGCCACCGCCGCCTGCTGCGCTTCTCCTCCCAGATCCACAACCTGGGCAGAGCCGACTTCCGACCCCGCATGGGACGGCACGCCTGGACCTGGCACCAGTGCCACCGGTGGGTGCCCTGCGTCCCAGGGCTGTCCCTGCGCAGGGCCAGGCTGGCCACGGGGGGACCTGGCAGCCCCGTTCCCCCTGCCCAGGGCGGGTGCCCTGCAGGGCGCTTGCTGGGCGCCGTCCCTCCTACACGGCCCCCACCCTGGCAGAGGCCGGCCCGCCCGGGGTAATTAGCAGCGTCCGGGCCGGCACTGTCATTAGGGCTTTATTTGGCTGCAAGGCTGTAATTTGCGCGGAGCCGCTCGCCTCTAGGTGCTGCCTGCTCCTGGCTCGGCGTCGGGGCCGGCCGCACGCTCCCCGTCCTGCCCCGGCCCCCGCTCACCCCCTGTCCCCACAGGCACTTCCACAGCATCGAGGTCTTCACCCACTACGACCTGCTGACGCTCAACGGCTCCAAGGTGGCCGAAGGGCACAAGGCCAGCTTTTGCCTGGAGGACACCAACTGCCCTGAGGGTAGGTGGCAGCTGCAGGCAGGGCACGGGGACCCCCCCAGCCCCTCCGTTCCTCACGGTCCCACCCCCATTGTCCCCAGGGCTCCAGCGCCGCTTCGCCTGCGCCAACTTTGGGGAGCAGGGGGTGAGCGTGGGGTGCTGGGACACCTACCGGCACGACATCGACTGCCAGTGGATCGACATCACCGACGTGCCGCCGGGCAGCTACACCTTCCAGGTACGGGCATGGAGGGGCTGGGGGGGACACAGGAACAGGAGGTGAGGGCTGGGGTCTGTGGGCACCACCAGCACTCTGTAGGGTGCACCACTGCTGCCTGCTTTGGGGTTTCTCCCGGCCACCCACATGTCCCCATGGTGGTGTGTGCGTGGCAGGCATGGTGGCACAACCTAGGTGCCCCCAGCCGTGCCCTGTTGCCCTCCCCAGGTGGTGGTGAACCCCAAGCACGAGGTGGCCGAGTCGGACTTCTCCAACAACGTGATGCGGTGCCAGTGCAAGTACGACGGGCAGCGCGTCTGGGTGCACGGCTGCCACACGAGTAAGGAGGGTTGGGGGCAGAGGGGGGGCAGTGGGAAATGCCCAGGATAGGGGTGCCGCAGGTCCCAATCCCCTTACCACCACCACCATCACCCTCCCCAGGCGATGCCTACGGCGCCGACGTGGTGAGCGAGCTGGAGCGGCGGGAGCGCCTGGCCAACAACCTCGTGTGAGCCCCCGCCTCGCCACGCTGCCCCCCCGGCACCCGGGGGCCTCCCAGCCTGTGTCCCGGCTGCGGCAGCACCCGACTGAGCTCAGGGACTCAAAGCCTTCTGTATTTATTGATGCTGCCGCAGAGGATGGGGATGAGCATCGCAACCAGAGGGGGACCGAGCCCTGTGCTGCCAGCAGGACGCACGGGGGGGACCCCGGTGCCCCCCAGGATGACTACCTCAGCCTGCCCGCCCGGCCCCGCCACCCCCCCTGGGCTCAGGACGGGCCCCGGGCACTGCCACCCGTGCAGCAGTCGCGTCCTCAATAAAGGTGCTGTGCAATGGGACAGGGTGCTGTGTGGTGGCACAGGGCCACGTAGCCGGTCAGCAGCCCAGCCCAGCTCCATGCACGTCCCCTCTCCCTGCTCCTTCCCCTCCAGGACCACAAAGCTGGGCCCTGCAGGGACAGCTCCTGCCCCCAGGATGTCCCCTCCCTGCCACCCAGGGCCACCAGCCCTCCTGCAGGCTGCGTGGGGCCGGTGCCAGGTGGCTCCGGCTCCCTGCCAGCAGTGCCCGCAGGCAGGGGCACCCTGTCCCTGAACTGCCTGACCCCGGGAGCAGCACAGAGCAGCACAGCACAGCACGGCCAGCTCTGCGGCAGCGCGGGCCGGCAGCCAGCCCACCGGCCAGCCACGGCTGCAGCCTGTGCTGGGCTTTCCCAGGCTGTTCCTGGCAGCTCCCCGACCCCAGAGCAGCCCCGGGAGCAGGGATGGGGTTGCGCTGCCCCTGGGAGCTCTCACTCCTCGGGGCAAGGTGGGGACACAGGGGACAACGTGCCCCTGCTCCGTTTCTTTCCCCTGGGTGGTTTCCAGCATATGTTATTTTTTTAAGGATATAAATGGGCATCCCACCTAGCAAGCCACCGGGCACTGCCAACCCCTCCTGGCAGCTCAAACCTCCGCTCTGCCCCATCCCCATCCCAAACCCCATCCCCATCCCCATGCCCCCGGCTTGCACCAGCCTGGGACAGGGGGGCTACGAGCCCCTGTTCTCCCCCCTCAGTGCCAGGACAGGCTCCACACGTGTTGTCCCCGCACGTGGAGGACCACAAGTGCTGGTAGCCCTGCGGGATGTGGGTGAGCGAGGCCCGTGGCGAGGCGCGTGCCGCCGGAGGCTCACCCCGCCAAGGCTCCCCCTGCTCCCCGCCGTGCCGGGGGAAGATGCTTTCCGTGTGAGCGCATCCTCTCGCCCGGAAACTTTCCGCTGGCCCAGCCACCCGGCCGCTCGCTGCCAAGAGCTGCGGCCGAGACGGTTCCCAGCTGGCAGCAGGGGCAGGCAGCCACCGCCGCGGGGTCACGACCAGCTCCTCCACCACCCAGCTGGGGGACAGCCAGGGGACACGGGGCGGCTGCCACGAGGTGACCCAAAACACACAACCCGCTGGCACGGGTGGTGGAAAGGCAGCAGGAGCACTCCCAACCTGCTGCTGCGGGCACGAGAGCCACCCCCAGACAAGGACCCTGAGAGTTTTGGGGGCTGCGGGGCAGGCTCCTTCGGCAGCAGGGGTGGTTTTAGGGTTTTGATGCACCAGAGCCCTGGGAGAAAGGCAGATCCATGGGGCAGGGCAGGAAGCCCCCCGCCGCCAGGCCCAGGTGCGCAGCCCACATCACAGCCCCGCGCGGGGCCGGGAACGGGGCCGGGGTGGGAACGGGGCCGCCCTTCCCGCAGCCCAACAAGGGCCCCGCTGTTCGGGGCCATGCATGTAAACAGGGGCCCTGCCAGCACATTCCAGCCCTTCCCTGCCCCTCCTGCCGCTCACCCACCGCCCCGCAGGGGGGAAAGCCCCTGCAGAGGCTGGGGGACGCGGCACACACGTGGCACACGCCAAGGGAGATGCAGGGAGGAGAAGCTGGGCACCCTGCGCTGCTGTGTGCCCTCCTCACAGGCCAGGCGAGGCAAAATAAATGGTATTTATTAGCAAAATAAAAGACACTCTCGTTCACAAGGCCCGGCGTGGCCATGGCTGACCCGCAATGCATGGCCGGCGCTGTCCCCGCCGAGCTCCCCGCATCCCCTGGCTGCCACCACAGCACCAGGGGACCCTGTGCCGGCAGGACAGGCAGCACCAGCTGGTGGCACCCAGTGGGGACAGCGCTTGCACGGCCCCAAAGAGCCCTCGAGCACCCCGTGGCCGTGCCCCAGCACCATCCTGCACAGATCCCATGGGGCAGCGGCAGGCACAGCTCCATCCCCATGTGCCCTGCCATGCCCGCAGAGAGGGGCTCAGGCCCCTGGTGGCACCTCCAGCAGGGCTGAAAGCAAAGGCAGCTCAGTCCCGGCCTTCCCACGCATCCTCCCGCTGCTTGTTCTCCAGCCGCTTCCTCTCTGCTGGGGACAAACTGGGTAAATCCTGAGCCCCCCCCACCCCCCAGCTGCCCAGGGCTCTTCCCCAGGGTCGGGAGAGAACCCCGGCAGCGCAGGGAGAGGCTCCCGGGGGCAGAGCTCACCCCGAGCCTCCTGCAGCTTCCTGCGCTCGGCGTCCCGCTGGGCAGGGGTCTGGGGGCTGCGCACCCCCAGGGCGCCGATCACCAGGCGCCGTGCCAGGGCGGCCGACGTTTCGGGGCGCTCCTTGGCCGGCTGCAGGTAGTCTGGGGGAGAGCAGAGGGGGCGTCAGCGTGGGCACCCAGCCAGGGGGCTGGCACGGCCCCCAGCCCAGCCAGGGCACCGGGATGAGGGTGCTCGGCGCGCTGGGGGTGCCCCCACATCCCCACTCACCGGCGTACGCCCTGGCCTTGGCTTTGGCCGCCCGGGTGCCCTGGGACAGCGGGCGAGTCTTCACCATCAGGTGCTTGGTGCTGAGGGCATCGCGTGCTGCGAGGAGGGTGGCGCATTGCCAGGCAGCCCCGCACGGCCATGGGGCACGGCTGAGCCAAGGGGTGTGCCCAGGCGCTGCCAGGAGGGGTGTCCCCCCTCTGCCCTCCCACCCTGCGGGCTGTTTGGAGCAGTACCTGTTATGGGGCTGGAGAAGATGCCCAGGGCGTGCGTATCATCCACCCACTTGATGTCAAAGCCCTTCTTCCTGCCGGAGAGATTGGGGGTCAGCAAGGCACCGGTGCTGCCAGCGGGGCCCAGCGCCGAGCCCGCAGCACCGGGCAGAGCCGCGGACTCACTGGTAGCTGCAGAAGACACGCAGCAGGTCCTCGGTGCGGAAATCCGGGGGGAAGTCATAGATCTCGATGACATGGGGCAGCTCGTCATCGCTGAGGTCCGGCGCGGCCGGCTCGGCCCCGTAGTAGTCGAAGCGGGGCTCCTGCAGGCTCTGCCGGCGCTTCTGGCCCCCCGAGAGCTGCGGGGTGGGAGAGGGACGGTGCTGAGCGACCCCGGCACCAGCACCAGCGCCTGGTGGACGGCCAGCACTGCCCAGGCTCTCACCCCCGTGCCACACACCAGCCGTGCTGCTGGATTAACAGCAGCGGGACTTTGGGAGCCAGCCACCAGGACGCTCACACCACGCGGCTGCTTTTCCCATTAGGAGCACCCCACCATGAGCACGGGGATCGGCGCGCCCCGTGCCACCTCCCCGCACCGCCGCCTGCCAGACACCAGTAGCACCGTGCCAGGAAAGCCACCTGCTCCCCCAGGGAGCCAGTTCCACCGGTTAACTACCTGCGCCGCTACCAATTTATGCCTTATTTCTAATTTGAATTTGTCTGGCTTCAGTTTCCAGCCGCTGGTTCTCGTTCTGCCTCTCTGCTGGATTCAGGAGCCCTGGGTCCCAGGCGTCCCCTCCCCATGACAGCACTCGCTCGTGGTAATCAAGTCACTTCTCAGCCTTCGCCTGGATAAGCTGAGCGGGCTGCGCTCGTTTAGTATCTCACAGCGGGGCATTTCTCCAGCCCTAAAAGATGACGGCTGTAGCTCTTTTCTACCTCTCCAATTTTTCAACCTTCACTTTAAAATACAGGCATCAGCCTCCCACTGCCGGCTGCACAACGCGGCGGGGGCACGCAGCCACCCCGCTCCCCTGTGTCCCCGGCAGCACCAGTGCCAATGGGCCCCCCCAGTACCACTCGCTGCCCCTCAGCTCCCCAAAATATGTAGGTGCCAGGGGGAAAGGGGCTGCGGCGCGCTGCGGGGGAGCAGGCACATAACTCAGCCAGGTCCCCAGCCCGATCCCCTGAGCGGTCGTAGCGCAGCGCACCACGGCTGGAAGGTTAGAGGCCATAAATCCCGGGCAGCTCAGTCAATAAAAAGTGCTCGTTCCGACAATTTTATGGGGAAGATGGATTCACGGCAGGTGAGGGGGTGCCGCCGGGCCGGCTGGATGCCGGCGGAGGGGAGAGCTGAGTTATGGAGCTTGCGGGACAGCCCAGCGCTGCCGGGCAGGACCGTCTCCCATCAGCCGAGCAGCTCAGCTGGCTGGGCTCCAGCACCCCTGCCCGCTGCGGGGGACACGAGGCAGCAGGATGAAGCCCTGCCGTGATGCTCGAGGGAGCAGGGCACTGGGGTAGCGCCAGGCGCCGGGCTGATGATTGGAGAGCCGGAGCGCGGAGTGCCGGCGCGGTCCCTGACCTTCACAAATCACCGAGTGTGGCGGGGCAGCAAGGACTGGAGCCGGCTGGCAGCCGGGCTCAGCTGCATGCCAGGCATGGCCCAACAGGTCCCCTGCCCTCCCCTGGCACTGGACAGGCTCTAGGGAGAGCTGGGGGACGTGGATGGCCAAGGCAGGACCCCTAGGACATGAATTGTGTCTGCCACGGCTCGCTGCTCTCCGAAAACCCATCCCACCCTGCTTACACTCCTGCTCCAAGAGGTGAGCCGGAGCAGCACGGAGCAGCTCCATGCAGGTGCTGAGAGGTGCACGAGCACACTCAGGTGCCTCAGCCACCCCCCTGCCTTGTGGGGACGGATTTGGAGAGGTGCTGCCAGCAGCACGCAGTGCCCCAGGCGCTGTCCTCACCCCACGGCTCCTCGTGCAGGGCAGAGCCCCGGGGAGGCACAGCAGGGCCCTCACACACCGACACCCGGCTGAGGTTTCGCCTCGGGAAGCTGGTGGAGAATCCAGCAAGGCTGCAAGGAAATTGTTCCAGCGGTTAATTACCCTCCGTGTTACAAACGTGCGCCTGGCTTCGAGTCTGGCTTCAGCTGGCTCCAGCTTCCAGCCAGTGGATCTCGTTATGTTTTTTCCTGCTAGATTAAAGAGCCGTCTGCTATCAGAAATCTCTTCCCGACACAGAACGTCATAAATCTTGCTCTCTGCCGGCTATCCGCAGCGCATAAGGATTCAGTTATGACGAAGAACGCTACTAATTTTCTTGTCCTTTTAGTTAATTAACAACAGCTACATCTCCCCAAGAGCCCGAACCCTCCCCGAGCAGGCGCATCTGCCTCCCAGCAGCTCGGAGGCATCGGGAAGCGACCAGGCTCCGAGGGTGGAGGGGGAAATCGGCAACTTTTTATGGATAAATCCCCTTTTCAGGTCCTTTTTCACCCATCAAGCTCCCTGGAATGGCCAACCCGGACTCAGAGCGAGTGCACGGGGGGTGTAACAGGGGTGCTCCAGAGCTCCTCAGAGCCAGCACTGGCGCTGCGTGGCACAAACTGCCCGCAGCATCCCACGGCCACACCACAAAACGGCACAGCCACGTCCCCGTGCAAGCCCAGGGAACACCCTCCAGAGCTAATCCCATTTCTGCACACCCCTATCATCGGCACCGTCCGCCTCTCGGAGCCCTGCTCTCAGTGAGGGCTGGACATTGGTTTGTAATATTAGTGCTGTTTGTTACTTTGGGTCCATTAATGTCATTCCGAACATTACCAGCTTTACGCCGCTGATTTAAAATGCAATAATGGATTTCCAGGCTCATTGCAGAAGCCGAGCTTTCCCCGCGAGCGGCAGGAGAACGGCACGGCTCCCAGTGCAAGGCAGCTAATTGTAGTAAATTTAGGCACACGCTTACAGGAGGCTATGGTAATGAGCCACAGCTGATTAAGAAGATGTAGTTTTCAGGAAACTTCACGTTGCTATTTCAATGGGAGCCCATACGTCTCAGCCCATTTCTTTATTACCAGCCCTGCTTTCACCAGGGTGCAGTTGCAGTTTACGGCTCTCGAGCACGTTTTACTGGGTGCACTTTATGTACTGCAAAGGGAAGATCCCCCCCAGCCTTCACAGGGCCTCGCTGGCACCGAGGGACAGGAGGGGAACGGGTCCAGGCAGGGGCGAGGAGCTCCTGGCAGCACCCTCCTGGACTTTTTGGCACCACTCATGCCCTTGGGGGGTGGCTGGAAGTGCCAGCAGGCTGCACGGCCAGGCAGCACCCCAAGGACAGAGCCCAGAGCCACCCCCCGGCTGTCCCCACGCTCACCGACTCGCCGAGCTCACCTCTTCCAGCAGGCGTGGGTCCAGGCAGTCCCCGTCATCGTTGAAGAGCGCGTCCCAGCTCTCCTCGCCGCCCGGGCTGTCGTGGCTCTGGGTCCCGGTGCTGGCCTGCCCTGGCTTTGGGGAGCCGCTACGGGGACCTCCCTCCTCTTCCTCCTCTTCCTCCCGGTGCTGCTGCAGCGAGTCTTCATCCTCATCCCCCTGTGCCTGCTCCTCAGCCCAGGTCCCGGCCGAGAGCTGCTCCACACCGCGGCACAGCAGCTCCAGGGACGGCGGGGCTTCGTGGCTTCCCGGGGGAGCCCCTTCCCCGGCCCCACTCTCTGCCCCCGGCGCGCTGCTCCCAGCCCCGGTGCTGCCATGGGGCGCAGGGACGCCCTCCCCAGCGGCATCCCCAGCACCAGCAGCGCTCTGCTCCTTGCCGGGCGGCAGCTGCCCCATGTGCTCCAGCAGGAGCTGGGCTGTGCTGCCTGCGCCCTGCCCTGGTGGCACCAACTCAGCACCCACGCTGCCCCTCGAGCACCCAGCCTCGCAGGCAGCTCCTCCTGGGGCAGCCACGGCGCTGCCTCCCTGCCTCTCCTCCTCCCTGGGGTCACAACCCTCGCTCTGCCCTGTGAGGAGAGACACCCCTTGCTCCTTTTTCTCCTCCTTCTGGGCTTCCAGACCTTCACCCTCACAGCTGAGCTGGGGCGCACTGCCCGGGCTGCCCTCCCCTGCCTGCTGCAGGGCACCCTGTGCCGAGCACCCGGAGAAGTCCGTGCCCAGCTCCGGGGTGCTGTCCCCCCGATGCTCCGACCCGCCTGGCTCTGTCCGACACACCTCACTCGGCGGAGCTGCTGTTGGGCTATCGGGGTCACCCCCAGGCTCTGAGGTCACCCCCGCAGCCCCAGGCTGGGCACCTTGTGGAGTCAGCGGGTCCGGCACCGTCCTCATCACCCCACAGCTTCGGTCCCTGAGCCCCACGTCCTGAGATGAATTGTCCTGCCTGCCCGAGGGCTGGGCAGCGCTCAGATCCACGCTTGGCTCCTGCACACTGGGCAATGCCTCCGGGCCCTCCGGGCTGCCTCCCGGCTCCGTGCCAGCCTTGGAGCCCCGGCTGTGCGTGCCTGGTACCCTTCCATCCCCGGCGGAGGCTGCCCGGGGCTCCTTGGGGCGAGCGCCCGCCTTGCTCTCTCTGCCAGCTGCTCTGCCCACGTGCGTCCTGGCCCCGGGGCTTCGCCTCTGCCCCTCGGAGCCGCCCCGGCCGACGTCCAGCGCCGGGCGCTGCTTCTCGGGCTCCCAGTGTTTCGCAGCCGCCTCCTGCGCCGCCCTCTCCCGCCGCGCTTTGGGCACGTAGAGAGCCATGTCGGGCTTCCTGCGGCGCGCCCGGCCGCCCTCCGCCTCCGGCTGCATGGTGCCACCGCCGCCTGCAGAGGAGAGAAGCGTCAGTGCCACCCGCACCCCGGCCAGCCCCCGGGCCAAGCAGCACCGGAGCGGGGTGGGCAGGTAGGAGGCAGACCCAGCGCTCCATCCCTGGAGCACCAGGAATCGCAGCACGGGGACGAGGGGCAGCCAGCGACCACGTCGCGCACGGAGACGGAGCTGCAGCAGGGACCTGGCACACGGGTGTGAGAAGAGCTGAGATGCAAATACTAAAGGTCTGGCCGAGCTGAAAGGCAGCCAGCAGAGAGGCAGCCGCGCTGCCTGCAGCGCCTCGCAACCGGCAGGACTCGCTGCTGCAAGGACTGGCACAGCCAGGGGAGCTGGGCAGGGGACGGGGGCTGCCCATGGGGCTGAACACAAACCCACAGCCCGACAGCATCCCCGGTGCCAGCACGCTGAGCAGGTCGGGACGGGGACATCCTGGCGAGGAGCCCTGGCTGTGCCAGGCTCCTGGGCTGCCCCATCCCGGCAGAGATTTATTTTTCATCATCTTTGGCACAACCGGGCGCGCCGCTATCTGCCAGGCCCCGTGCCCCTATAAATATGCATCAGGCAGCGTTTATGGAGACGGATGGGGTGGGGGGCTGCGCTGGGGCTGAGGGGAAGGCAGAGCGGGGCCGGGCCGGGGCCCCGTGATTAATCACTGCCCACTCTGTTTAGGGGTATTCATCACGGGCCGCTGTCAGGTAAATCACTGGAAAAACACCTCTTCAGTAATTAATGTGAAGTGACGGATGGACAGCCCCTGGGCCCATTAATCTGGAACATCAGAGCCTACCGAGATTATGAATGTCAGGATGCATAAACTGCCGGCGGATCAATAGGGCCAGGAATCCGTCCAAGGCTCTCATTTCCGCGGCACCTCCGGTACATTAGGCTCCTCTCCCTTCCCCGTGAACCACGCCGAGCCTCCGGGACGGGCGGCCCCGGCCGGCGGTGGCACGCTCAGTGCCCGTGGCCCCGCTCGGAGAGCCGGCGGTGCCGGGCAGCCGGAGCGCACCGTGCCCTGCAGCCGGCCGGGAAGCCCGTGCCTGCCGGATGGACGACAGACAGACAGACAGACAGACGGATGGAGGCAGCGCTCCCCGCAGAGCCCTGGCGTGATGGATGGGTCTCTCCCGGCTCTCACGAAACCGCCAGCAAGCCCCGGCACGGGGAGACGGAGGCAGCAGGCGGCACGGCAGCTTCAGCGGGGAAACCACCGGCAAAGACCCGGCTGCCCCCTGTTCACACCTCCCAGCCCAGCACGGCCCCACTGAGCGGGGTCTCACCCCACACCTCAAGGCTCAGCCCCGGTGCTCCCCGGGAGCCGTGCTCCGTGCCCCCGCCTGCCCCATGGGAACTCGGTGCGGGGCAGGCGGGGGCACCGGGGCGCTGCTGCCGCCACCGTTTTTCTCGCTGCAGAAACATATGCAGTGCCTGTCATTTTTTTTCCCTTCTTTGATACACTAATTTTGCTGGCAGAATGGTCCCCTTTATCTTTATCGACTGAGAAAGAAGCAACGCATCCTATAAACCGTCCAAGCTCTGGGTCGGTCATTTTTCAGCCCCGAGGCGTTATACATTTTCTCACCGAGCGGCAGCCCAGCCTAGCCGTGTGCCGGTGGGGAGGGGGCACCGGGAGCCCCCGGCCATCAGCATTTTGGCACACGCAAGGCTGTCTAACACACAATTCCTCAGCAAACACCTTCCAGCCACGTCTGCCTGCCCACGGGGAGCAGCACCCAGCTGCGAGGCCACACGGCTGATGCCGTTTCGGAGGCACAGCCATGGGGCAGGGGGGCATTTTATAGCTAAAAAATAGGGAAAAGAGCTTTCTCCACCACTCGCCTCACTCGCAGGGCTGCAGAGCTGCTTCCACTCTCTCCAAGAGGGAATTTCCCCAGGGGAATGCCCCCAGCAGCCAGGCCTGGCAGACAACGTGGCTGTGCCACCACACCAACCGTGCGTCCTGCACCCTGCGCAGGACCCCGGGCATTTGGTGCTGCTCCTGCTGCCCTCCACCAAAGGGGGCTGAGCCTGTGGGGGGACTGCTGAGCCCCACCAGCGCTGCTCCCCAGCGGGAGTGAGGATTTCCAGCCCCGGGACGCTGCCCAGCAAGGGTGCTCTCCTTTCCCTGCAGCCACCGCACTGTGCCAGCGCCGCTCGGGGAGCGCAGCCAGGAGCAGCATCGCTCCACGCACATCCCAAGTCACCTCCAAGAAAAGCCCTCGCACGCAGGATTTATGGGCTCCTCGAAAGCTTGCCATTCACCTTGCCTCACCCTCCAGAGCAGATGGTGCGGCATTAGCCAGACGGGCGGTGCTGGGAGCATCCTCTCCCCACGCGGCCGCGTGCTGCTGGGGACGAGCAGCATCCCACAGCCATGCAGCAGGCAGCTCCTGTCCCCGGGCACATCACGCAGGGAGCTCCAGGCAAAGCAAGGCACGAGCACAGCGAGGCTGCAGCAGCCCCCAGCAGCCCCCCAGGGACACCGCAGCATAGAGGGTTTGTGTTGGTTTTTTTTTCCCTCCTAAGGGCAGCGCAGCTCCTGCCCCCAGTCTATTACACACTTCATCAGATGCCACGGCCACGCGTCACCTCCAACTGATTTCACGCTCCGGGAGGCAGAGCACAGCCCTGGCTGCAGGTCTCATTCACACTACGCTGGGCAGGGCAACCCCACAGATCCCAAACTTGGGGACCAAGTCACCGCTCGCCCTGCATCTCCTCTCCCCTGCACCCTGCGGGCTCGGCTGGGGCGCACGAGGCTCCGGCACGAGTTTGTGAGGTCTGAGCAGCTGCTCGGGCACCGTGCCGGCCCGTGCTGCTCCTCTGCAACCACCGGCACCGTGCACGGGCAGCGCTCCTCTCCTCGCTCTCTTAGGGCCGTGCACGGATGCCGGGCTGTCGGGCTCGCACGCAGCGTGCCAGTTCCTGGAAAAGTTGAAGTGCCACCCAGCGCCCTCCCAGCAGGCTGCCTCATTTCCTGGCAGGGCGCTGTATTTTTAGCCTTCGAGGTTTCTAATTCCACTCAATCCATACTGCCATCGATAGAGCACATAACCTTAGAGCCTTGACGGCGGGCAGGGAACGGCAACACCTCGGGGGCCGCGGCTCGCAGCGCTGCTCGGGGAGCGCCCCTGGGGGACCGCGCGCAGCCTCGGCGCGCAGCTCGCACGCTGGCAATGTCACTCTTTACTGCCTGCCGCAGCTCGGGTGAAAAAAATCCTACAACTACTAATAAAAACGAAGCTACGAGGAGATTTTAAACAGCCCCGATTAGGAAGCTCACCTCCAAGTGCTTGCTCGGTGCATGGCGCTGGCACCCCGGAGAGGGAACAGGGGCTGCCCGTCCCCACCTGCCACCTCCCTGCGCCCTTTTAGGAAGCTGCAGGGCTTCCCAGGTATCTCCCATCACAGACTTCAGTTGTTCCACACCTCTCCTCCTCTAAGCAGAGCTCCAAGCCAGCAGGACGGGCTCATGCAGCAGGTGCCAGGGCCACAGAAGGACCTGGGTACCTGGCAGGGTGAGGCTGGGCTGCCTACGGGGTGCCACGCGATGGCACAGAGCCACCGGCACAACGCGACACCAAGCAAAGCGCCCCGAGAGCGGGGGGCTGCTGCCCACCCCACTCCGTGCCCTGCTCCCGGGAGAGGGACAAGCTCCAGGCACGGCACCAGCCACGAGCCACGCGAGGAGACAGCGAAGCGCCGACAGCAGCGGGCTGTCAAAAGGAAACACACGGGGAAAAGGGAGAGATTTCAATCGCGCCTCTCGCTCCCGATGCTCCTAGGAGATACCTGGAACAAGAGAAGGGGGACGTTTCAGGCAGGAGGTGATTTATAGGTCGATACCGTCCCTCAACAGCTGCAGGGGAAAAAAAAAAAAAGGATAACAGAAAAGCAGAAGGAGTTAGTAGGCGAGGGGGTAGGGGGATACGAAGGGCTTTCCAAATATACCTGGGCAGGATCAGCACAAAAGTGAGCGGGGCTATAAATAAATAAGAGGGGAGGGAAAATTAATGACGGCTCAAAAATAAAGATGACTCAAAAGGGCAAAACTGCCGTTTTTAACCAGAAAAAATGCAAATGAGGCAGGGGCCTCCCAAAGCCAGCTGCAGGGAAGCAAAACCAGCGTGGCCGGGCAGCGCCGGGCACCTGGACACGGCGGGATGCGCCCAGACCCCCACCCGGGACGCACCGGGGGCACGGTGGCGGCAGAGCCCCAAAACCGAGCCCAAAACACCGGAGCCGGGTGGCACAGGCACAGCACCAGCCCCCGCTGCAGGGGGGACGGAGCCCGGGGACGCCCCCACGGGGGGCTCCAGCCCCGCAGGGTGAGGAACGGGGCCGAGCAGCAGGAGCTATAGGGCCGGGATGAGCCCGGCAGCCACCCGGGCGCACCGGGGCAGGGGACAGGAAGGGACAGGAAGGGGACAGCGGGGACGGGGACGGCGGGGACGGGGCAGGGGGCGCCCCCCCGGGCCGCTCTCGCCCCCGGCCGGCTCCCCCCCGGTGCCCGTGCGCGCAGCGGGTGCCGCCCGTCGGGGGCCGCCCGTCGGGGGGCTCGGCGCGGGCGTTACCGGTGGCCTCGCCGGGTCCCCCGCCGCTCCCCGCCGCCGCCGCCGCTTCCGCCACGCCGGGCCCGCCCCGTCCCGCCGCGGGGTGCGCCGGGACCTGTAGTGCGGCACCGGCACCGCCCCGGACACCGCCACCCGCACCGGCACCCGCACCGGCACCGGCACCGGCACCGCGCCGCCGGGGTGCAGCGCGCCCGGGGCGCACCGCGGGGACGCCGGGGACACCCCGGGGGGCGACGGCAGCGGGTGGCACTGCTGGCCCCGCTGCACCTTCCCCGTTATGGGGGCTCTGTGTCCCTCCGGGAGCCCCCCGACGGTCGTCGGTGCTGGAATTTAGGGTGTCCGTGGGCATGGGAACACCGAGGGGCGAGTGGGGTGTGCTGCCAGAGCTGTGCTGGGGGACAGCGGGACAAGGACATGGGGACACAAGGACATGGGGTGACAAGGATATGGGGTGACAAGGATATGGGGTGACAAGGACATGGGGACACAAGGACATGGGGACACAAGGATATGGGGTGACAAGGACATGGAGTGACAAGGACATGGGGCAATAAGGATATGGGGACAAAAGGATATGGGGTGACAAGGACATGGGGTGACAAGGACATGGGGACACAAGGATATGGGGTGACAAGGACATGGAGTGACAAGGACATGGGGCAATAAGGATATGGGGACAAAAGGATATGGGGTGACAAGGACATGGGGTGACAAGGACATGGGGACACAAGGATATGGGGTGACAGAGACACAGGGCAACAAGGATATGGGGTGACAAGGACACTGGGTGCCAAGGATGTGGGGACACAAGGACATGGGGCAACAAGGACATGGGGTGACACAGACACAGGGTGACACGGACATGGGGACACAAGGACATGGGATGACAAGGACACGGGGTGACACAGACACGGGGTAGCAAGGACACGGGGTGACACGGACGTGGGGACACAAGGGCACGGGGCTCCGTAGCCATCAGGAGCGGTGGGCGCAGGGCTCCCCCTTCCCGCAGCGCTGCCCGCCGTGCCCCCGCGGGAGGCTGCCATTGATTCCCCATTAGCTTTGAGCGTCACGCAGGCAGCGGGAGCGCTGCTGGCTGCAACCAGGCGCCCCTCGGGCCGCATCCTGCCTGCTGCTGCGGGGTGCTCAGCGCCTCGGAGGCCCAGACGAAGGGGCGGAGGGAGGGAGGGAGGGAGGGAGGGAAGGTGTCTGCGCTGGGCTGCGCCTCTCCGCATCCTGCCTGGGGTTTGGCGTGGAGCGAGGCCGATAATGAACGCGGCCCCAGCGCTCGCACGCGTTCGCCGCCGGCGTGGGCGGCAGGGGAGCGCACCGGGGAGCGGCACAGCCTCGGCTCCTAATGAGGCACCGCCACCGCCGAGCACTCCCGAGCTGGAGGGACGGGGCGCACGGGGACCGGCCGGGCTCTGCTGGAGGCAGGGGACAGCCCAGGGGACACGGAGCTGCGTGCCGGCCCCTACGTGCCAGCACAGCCCGCAGGGCTCAGCGCCGGGGGCACCTGAGCACCAGGACCTGGTTATTCCGTGCTGGGTGGCAGGCCCAGGCAATAATGCCTTTTTCCTTTTATTTCCCTCGGTTTGGGCACAGCGGGGAACAAGGAGGCTGTGCTCCATCACCGCAGCCCTGCGGGATCTCTGCTGGGAGCTGAGCAGGGCAACCCTTGGGCAAAACTCTCATGTGTAGGGCCATCCCTGCCAGCCACGCGGCCCCAGGGCAGGATGAGGAGGGCTCACACCGAGCAGGGCCACCCGGCGCCCCTCGGGAGCAGCCCCAGCCCCAGCCCACCATGTCCCAGAGGGGACCGTGGCCCCTCTTGCAGGTAATCGATGGCAGCAGCTCCTGATCGCTTTCATTATTATTATTTTCTTATGCATGTGCGCGCAGGAGATTTATCGCCAGCTACGGAGGCAAAATCAATTATTCATGTTATAAATTAGAAAATGATTTATGTTTGTGGGAGGCCGAGCAGCGTGGAGCCCCTGGCCGCGTGGGAGCTGGGTTTGTCTGGGAACAGCACCAGGCAGCCCCTGCCAGCACTTCCCAGGCCTCTCCAGCTCTGTTTCGCCCGGGGCGTCCCTCCTGGGGTGCCCCCACCCCACCACAGCACCCCGCAGCACCCAGTTGAACCCATGCAGCCCACCCCAAAAACCTGGACTGGGCTTGCCTGGCTGGGGCAGTGCCTGTTCCTGGGTGCCCCTGGCTGGATGTTGGGGATGCTGGGGACAGCGGTGGCCTTGTCTCCCTGGCCGGAGCGGCAGGAGGATGCTCCGCAGGTAGTTTCCATGGCAGCAGCAGCGTGGTCCAAGCGCTGCGAGGTGTGGGCTGCAGGACAACCCCCCCCCCTTGCTTCCCCCTGCTGGAGACATCCTCAGGTGTCCCCTCCTGGTGTGCTCCTGCCTCCTGCAAGGGACACTGTGGCCCCCTCCAGAGTGCCACAAGGGGACAGGGACCCCTTGTACTGTCACCCTGCCTGCGCCAGGCCCCGAGGCTGGCCACCCCAGCATGGGGCTGCAGGGCTTTGTATGGCCGTGCCCCCACTTCTCCTGGGCCAGGGAGTTCTTAGGGGTCCTGGGAGCCATCCCAGGTGGGGAGAGCGCTGCTGGGAGCTGCAGCACCCCACGGCTCTGCACCAGGGGTCCCAGACCCCCACCTGCACCCCAGCCCCGGCTGCCTGGGCATCTTAACCCCCCCGCACAGCTCAGGCAGCCGGCCGGCCGCTCTCCGCTGATAGCGGGGCTGCCAGAGAGCCTGGATCTGAAGCTGCCGTGCCTGTGCCTCCCAGGGGACGGCAGAGCGGGCCGGGAGCGCTGCCTGCCTCTCCTTGTCTCTTCATCTGCAGCTGCGTCAGCCGGGGCCGCGGGGAGGCACAGGCTGAAAGGAGCAGCGCGGGAGAGAAAGGGGCTGTCGGCAGCCCCAGATCCGGCTCCGATCAGAGGCGAGTTGTGCATCCAGCTCCTGCACACAGCATCCTGTGCTGCACCGAGCCCCAGGGATGGGAACGGGGAGGAGAGGTGGAAACAAGGCGACCTCGGCTCTGCCCTTGCTCTCCAAGCAGCCTCTTCTCCTCCAGCCCTGCTGCTGGTCACCCACCCACGGCCCCGGGGCTCCCGTGTGCTGAGAACTTGCCAGCTGGGCACACACACGGTGCACTACAGCAGGGGGGGCTCCCCACAGCTCCCTGCCAGGCTGCGAGCAGGAGGGGCACCGAGAGCCAGGTACAGCGCAGAGAGCTGCCAGGACAACCCGTGACCCCTGAGCTGTGCGTGTCGGGCTTCTTGTGGGAACACCGGGCAATAAATAGGGTCACGCTGCGCAGCCGGGAGCTGGCACTGAGCTCCCACCGTGCCGGGGAGCCCAACGTGGGCCCACGCTCCCCTGAGCACCCAGCTGATTTATTGCTGCAGAGCAAGTGCTCGCGGAGTACTTTTGATGGAGAAAAGCCCTGGGAGCTGCAGCGGGCACACGGGGGCACACGGGGGCACACGGGGCATCGCCCATCACAGCACTGTGCGCACGCACCCCAGCTCTCCACGACGCCTGGCCAGGGAGCCTGCAGCAGCCAGGGGAGGGGACTGCGGAGAGCTCGGGGCTGGGGCAGATTAGATCTGCTTTGCATTATTGCACCAAACACCTGGGGACCCGGCGGCTCGTGACAGCGCTGTATAATGCGAGGAAGCAGCCCACGGTGCGGGCAGGCGCCGGTGCTGCTGGCGGCTGGCGGGCAGGGAGGCGATGGGGCTGCGGGCCGGCAGCCCTCACCCTGCCCCTGGGAGCACAGGTCTGGCCTGGGGAGGGGAGCGGGGCTCTCCTGCTCCCTCTGTTCTCCGGCACATGGAAAATGAATGGGCAGGGACAGCAGCGCCTGTGCTGCAGGAATCAATACCGCTCCAGGAGCAGCCTGGGTGCTCCTCCCTGCGCTCCCCCGGGAGCCTGCCCCCGAGCGCAATCTCCCTGAGCAATCGCTGTTGTCTCCTTCCCTGCACTCTCCTGTTTGCCAGCCTGCTCAGCAGGACCGTGCCTGATGGCCGTGCAGCAGTGTGGGGGTGTGGGTGATGACCTCTGGGCTGGGGAGCATGCTACCTGGGCAGCCCGGCTCTTGGGAAACGGGCAGGACAAGCAGGAGAGATGCCTTGGGAGGATACAGGCTGTGCCTTGGCCCAAGTTAGCCCCTGTTGTCACTGTCACAGCCCGAGCTGATGT